CAAACTCACCAAACCCTAAACCTAAACTTGGTTACCCACCGGAAGTATATCGTTCGAAATACTAACAAAAAGCCTGTAAACTCCTTTGAAACGGAGAAAAGCGAGCTCACTGATGCAAAATTTACTACCGAATGGAAACAGTTAGACTCATTGATATAAAGAAGAATCATAAATTCGATTTCTCAGTAAGCACATAGCGAAATGGATATTGAAATGAATTAAATTGGCAGCATCTCCCAATTACAGATAACAGAAGCTGGTGAAACCTAATGAATATACGGTTGCGGAGACCAGAAAGGTTACCATTGATAATGATGAGAGATATCTCGTCGAACTCCTGCAAGGCCGAGGAAAGAAAGAAGATTTGCACGCAGAGACAGAATTTCTTCTTCGTTTCTTCTAAGAAGGCAGAGAATCTGCGTGCAGACTATTTAAGGCATAGCGTTGATGAAACGCGATTTATTTATTTATTTAATAATAATTTGTAAAAAGTAAATAAATATCTACCTTTTTTTTTTAAAAATTTTCTCCGAAGTTTTTCTTTAATTTATTATATTTATTATAAACTTTGAGGATGTAACATCCAACTAAAATAAAATTTTATTTTATTATTTTTATTTTTATTTATTTAATTTTTTATTTAATTTAATTTAATGAAAATAAAAATAATAATAATGATAAAATTAGGTAAAAATATTATTTGGATTTAATTGAAATTGATTTTGGAAAAAAGATGTGAAAATTTGAATTCTGGGAGTGTTTTTGAAAAGAAAATCGAAAACTGGGGGGTCAAAATGCAATTTAGAAAAATTGTGACACGTTAGCACCCACCTCAGCAGCCATGTCAGCGGCCCGGTCAGCAGCCCCGGCCAACCAGGACCCGTCGCGTGGCAAGGCAACACTGACCAAGGAACGGACCACGTAGGCGCACTGTAGAGCCGTATTCAGACCCCGAAACAAGTAAGGACCCCTCACCCTATTTCGTATCACGGTATTAAAGCTAAATAAGTAATTAAATTATACTGTGTGACTTTATAGATGTATAATTGATTAAGGTTGTCAATGGAACCCGAGTCTGATACAGTGTTGATCTGTTATTGTCTGATTTAATTTCCAGTATTAAATGCAGCATGATGTTTGATGTAATTATGTATGGTCTCGTATGCATGAACTATGGTTCTTTTATTTATGGTTTGTATTATGGTGAACCCGGTACTGTATTGTCTTATTTGGTGTCAATTATTGGTTTACATATTTTGTATGATTGGATGATTGAGATTAAGGAAAAAGGCAAAAAGGTTATGTGAATTGATAAGTGGATAATGTGGACAGCCTGACTAGATATCTTGGGAGATGGTGGATGGACCGGGTCCGTAGGGAACCCTACCGGGAACGTGGTCTCTCATACCGGACAGGGTATGGAGACCTTATGTGTTTTGGCGCCCATACCGGACGGGGTATGGGGACGGCCCGTTTCACCCTCATACAGACGGGGTATTGAGGTTCATGGTTTTGGCTCCCATACCGGACGAGTATGGGGACGGCCCTGGAAATCAGTTGTAAATGTTAATGGTTCACGTGTAGAGGGACTCCCTTATGGATCTCATGGATACTAGTAGCTGGTAAAGAGAATCTGTTTCCTGATGATTGAAATGTAA